TACGATTGGATTTCACTATAGTGCTCATTTCATAAAGAGTTAATTTGCCCAGTGTGATTAAGGCGGTGCCAGTGCACACCGTTTTATCTAGTTGTTGTTAAGGAAAGTCTTGGCGGTGATCATCGGTGGTGGTGGTAGAAGTAGTGGTGGTGGCCATTTCACCAAGCGGAAAGATATAATATTATTAATATGCAAAAGGACTAGACACTGGTCAGAGAAGGAGAAAAGGGGAGGAGGAAGAGGAGTGAGAGAGTGAGAAAATGAATGCAAAAGTGAAAGTGAAAGTGAGCAGTAACAAACGGAGAAAACAATATGAGAAAGTATTAAGAATATGAAAATGTGAGCAATATGACAAGCAATTATCAGCAACAGTATGGACACACAGAGACACTGTTTTGATGCTTGACCGATGCTGCTGACGTTGTTGATGTGCTGATGTCTGGTGCTAGATAGGCACTGATTTCGTTTTTCCGTTCATTCCTCATCAGGTATCGCCCGAGATCAGTTGCACTTTTCAAAAGCTCTCGAAGTTCTACATTTTTCCCCGTTGAGCGATTCTCAGCAATATGATGACAAGATCAGCTAGTGCAGCAAACTCCAGTGCCAGCTCCAAACCGTACGCGTACATCGTCGAACAGCCTGCCAAGTGCGGCGTTCGATTTCGCTACGAGTGCGAGGGCCGCATTAGCAGCGCCATTCCGGGGGCCTCCAGCACTGCCTCCCGGTTTACCTATCCGACGGTGGCAGTGGCCAACTACTCCGGCCCCATCAAGGTCATTGTTTCGTGTGTGACAAAGAGTAAGTGTGGTCAAAGTGCTCAAGTTTGTATTTGTAACATTTTTTTTCGATTAGATCCTCCCTATCGTCCTCATCCACACAACCTGGTGGGCAAGCAGTTTTGCAGCCAGGGCGTCTGTGTGGCGCTTTTTGGTGAGCCGTATGCTGTCTTTAACAATTTGGGCATTCTTTGCGCCAAAAGAAAAGATGTCAAGGAGAGACTTAGAGTTCGGGAGCAGTTGCAGATTGACCCTTTTGGAACGGGTTTCAGCCACCGCTTGCACACTTTTAAGTTGATTGATCTGAATGTAGTTCGCCTGTGTTTTCAAGTTTTTCTGANTATCGTCCTCATCCACACAACCTGGTGGGCAAGCAGTTTTGCAGCCAGGGCGTCTGTGTGGCGCTTTTTGGTGAGCCGTATGCTGTCTTTAACAATTTGGGCATTCTTTGCGCCAAAAGAAAAGATGTCAAGGAGAGACTTAGAGTTAGGGAGCAGTTGCAGATTGACCCCTTTGGAACGGGTTTCAGCCACCGCTTGCACACTTTTAAGTTGATTGATCTGAATGTAGTTCGCCTGTGTTTTCAAGTTTTTCTGATGGACAACCTCACGGGAAAGTACAACATTGCTCTGGATCCGGTGGTTTCCACTGAAATTTTCGACAAGAAGGCAATGTCTGAGCTGTCGATTGCCAAGCTGTCTCACTACAGTGCCCACATCGGCGGTGGTCAGTNTTCCACTGAAATTTTCGACAAGAAGGCAATGTCTGAGCTGTCGATTGCCAAGCTGTCCCACTACAGTGCCCACATCAGCGGTGGTCAGGCAGTGGTGATGCTCTGCGATCGAGTACTCAAAGAAGACATTCAGATACGATTCTACCAGACTGACTGCGCCACTGGACAGACCGTTTGGGAGAGGATGGCCCATTTTAATGCCAGGTAAGATTTTTATCTAAATAATTTTGTGTAAAATAACTTAATCATTTGACCCTCCTAACTCTTTCCCACCACCACTACTACGGCCATTAATCATTGAGCAGTGACATTCACAAGCACTTTGCGATTACCTTCACAGTGCCGCCGTATGAGCTCAGCGGTCTCGGCGGTCAGCACGGCGAGGAGGAGAGCATTCCCGTGCAGGTGCAACTTCGCCGTCCGTCAGACGGCTGCACCTCCGATTCAGTGACCTTCTACTACAGCAACAGCAGCAGCAGCAACAACAACAAAAGCAGCAGTGACAACTTAGCAGCTCAGGCACTGGGCTCATTCGAAGAGGAGTCATCATCATCATCACTGCTCTACCACCACCACCACCATCACCACCACCAGAAATCAGCCTCTCTCACTTGCAGCAATCGAAGCAGCAGCAGTGCATCATCACCTGATGCACATCACTCCGCCACTGTTCACTGGTCATCACCCTCCTCAGCTGGTCACCACCAACAAGTGGTGTCAATCAAGAGTGAGTTCACCCAGGAGGACAGCCACCACCACCTGACCAGCTATCACCAGATCAATCAGCTATCAGTTGAGCAGGAGCCACATCTCTTTGAGCAGTCGCCAATGCACCAGTACCAGCACAACGAACAAATCGTATACCAGAATGAGCAGCAGCATCATTTGCAGCAGACAGCAGGCAGCTGCAGTCAGATTTTAATTTCTCCGCCTGAAGAGTACATTTGGAGCTCCTCGGAAATTTCAATGCAACAGCAGCAGCATCAGCAGCCTCATCACCACCACTCAAACTCACCAAACAGCATGCTTCTCGACATTTCACAGAACGTCGTTCGTACAGAGGAAAACGGCAGCAGCTGCAGTCCACAGCACTTCTCCTTTCCTCATATGGCACTTTAACATTTCAGCACCTCAATCTATCGGTTTTTAAACATTTCCCAGTTCTCCACAATTGTTTTTCATTTTGTTAATTTCATTACTTTGTTTACCACTTCATAATGTGTAGTTAGCTAAAAATGCTCTAAATTATAAGTAAAGTAAATTTTTAAATAATAAATCACTATTTTAAATCTCACGTATTTGCATTTTCATTAAAAGTGTCAAGTGCTTACAACATCGCACAGTTAAACTGCACAGGCAATTAAAAAAATTGACTTTTCAATTGAAACATCGCCCAGACTCTTGTCATTTTGCGTCGACAACTGTCACTGCGACAGAGAAAGAGAAAGTACAGAAGCGCTGCTCCCATTAAGTGATCATCACCCCCTGGTAGCCAGCCGCATCTCTTCTTGCTCGTTGTTTTGCGCTTCTGTTTTTTCTGCTGCGCAGTTGCTCNGCCGCATCTCTTCTTGCTCGTTGTTTTGCGCTTCTGTTTTTTTCTGCTGCTTATCGATGATTCAGACCAGCTAACTGTTGATTCATTCACCGACTACTCAA